CTCGACCAATAAGGAATTTAGGAGACTCAAATGAAAGTTCAAGACACCATAAAGATCACATATCACATTCCCCCCACTAAGAAATAAAGTTATGTTCCCGTAACTTTCATGCAAACTTATGCAAGTATTCTATAAGCAAATCAACTAGAATAATCTAACAATCAAAATTGAGGAAAGTGAGCAATTATAGGTTAAATAAAATTACCAGTTGCAAGTTCCAAAATATTTTATCAAATAACAAATATCCAAATAACGCACATTGGTCAAATAATTAGGCAACAATATCCAAGTCCTTAGCCGATCTATGAACAAAACTATTAGGAAAATAATCCAACTTTCATGCTCAGGTAAATAATCAAGTTATAAGCAATTCAACTATCAAAATAATCTAACTATCTCAATTAAGAAAAGTGAGCAAATATTGGCCAAAATCACCAATTGCAAATTCCAGAATATTTTATCAAATAACAGATAACTACATAAGAGCAAGTCAAAGGGAAGACTTAGAGGGAAGCGATAAATAAACTCACAATCTCATCGCGTGTCCTAAGATTCTTAAGTCCTAAGTACTTAAACACCTAGAGTTCATGCTTAATATCCTAAAGTCTTATCTTAAAGGCATTGTCCTAGGGTCAAACTTAGGCTCTGATACCAACTGTAACACCCCTAATTTTTAAAACATTTAAAGCTTATGAAATAAAGGCGAATCTATCATTAATAATCAAACAGAGCAGAAGCTAAGCATAAGAGCCGGGGTGCTAAGCCACATCTAGGTTTGAGAACCTGGATGCACATGCTAAACTAACTAAACAAGTATAATTCACAAATCAATATTCAAATACAATTCAAAGCACTCAGGCCATCTAACTAATACTAGAGCTATCTACGCTAAATCCACGAGTCCAGCTAGCACGCTCCGAAGCTACTGATCAGTACCTGAAAAACATATTGTGTAACAACCATCAGCGAATAATGCTGGTAACCCATCCCACACGTTTGAGTACAATATATGTAGATATAAGAAAATAATTTTGAGACTGGAATACATATATAATCCTAAGCAACGCTAGCTTTAAAACCAAGATCAAGACTCGAGACACGGCAACAGATTGGACACCATAAAACAACATAAGGATAGTATCATGCAACCTAAAACCACAAGGTAGGACAGTAGCAAGGCTCAGCAACAAACCAGACAATAATAAAGCTTAACAACAAACAAGACAATAATAAGGCTCAACAACAAGCAGGCAATATTAATGCTCAACAACAAACTAGACAATAATAAGGCTCAACAATAACCAGACAGTGTTAAGGTTCAAAACCAAACAAGACAGTAACAACATGCATGTCCATGCTCCAACCTTATACCAAGCTCCAACCTTTACTCCTCTCCATCCTTATATCAGTTCCAACCTGTACCTCCAGGCCACCCTTATATCGCCTCCCTTATTCCTTCGGAGCATGCATGCTCCCTACCGACATACCGCCAACAAAGCCGCCGATCTGGTAGCACCGCAGTACCATTAACACATGATCTGTGCCTATAGCACAATAATCAAGGGGTCAAGCCTATAGCACAATGACATGGACCGCAACGCTAATAACTTGATCTATGCCTTTAGCAAACTAATCAAGGGTGGTCTGTGCCTATAGCACAATGACCGAGCACTCGTTGTGCTAAACCGCCAAAAAATCTTTTCCACCAATCACATTTCTTTTCTCATCATGGACAAATCAATCACAACAACCAATGCTCAGTGATAACAACAACCATCAACACTCAAACAACAACAGTAGTCAATCCTCAACAACAACAATCAAAGTTCGACAACAACAATAATCAAAGCTCAACAGCCACAATAACCACGACACACGACTCTTAAAACGGTACCCAAAACCTCAAACTAGACTCCTAAACATCAAACGGGGCACGGAGATTAACCCAACGGAGGTCGACGGTCCACCGTACATCACATACCAGACGAGTGGACGACCACCCGCCGGTACGCACCCTTCTTCCAGCGGGGGCACGACGAGTGGACGATCACCCGTCGACCACCCGCCGGGAACATACACATGTACCAACGGGTGGTCAGGCGGTAGTTCGACCCCACATCGACCCCCCCCCCCCCCACGACCCCCCCCCCCCCCACTGGTACATGATACTAAGGAAAATTTTTCCCACTTCGGGAATTCATCACCTTTGCAAAAAATCAAGTCCAAACACCTCCCAACACGCAACAACAACAATAGGGACTTGAACATCAAGAATAAGCCAAGAAACAACGCAATTAAATCCTAAACACAAACTCTAATCATGCCAAAACTCAAGATTAAACACCTAGCAATTCAAGAATATGAAGAACCTCAAGAACATCAAGATGCTATCATATAAAACCCTACTGACAAGTTCTTAACATGCTTAAACCCAAGATTATGCATATAAACATTACGAATATCAAGATCATCAAGATTATCAAGCAATCACAACATAAACCCTAAGACAAGCTCTAACAAGGCATAATTACAAGAACACACATACGATTATCAAAGGAGCAAATAAATAAGATATAGCAAGGAAAATAGGTTTTGTAAGACATGGGTTACCTTTTTAGGTTAATTGAACTTCTGACAACTTCCTAAGATCTTTCCTCAATCGATCCTCCCTAAGCCCGGTGATGGGGAATTCTTTGAATATGTTCTTGGGAGACGATTTTGTGTGGGGAGAGGGAGATATGGGTGATAGGGTTCTAATGCCTTCTAATTCCCTTATATATAGGTTAGGATCCCTAATACGAATCTGAATGGGTAAGAGATTTAGGATTCCTAATACAAATCTGAAAGGGTAAAAGATTTAGGATTCCTAATACTAATCTGAAAAGGTAGAAGGACCCTCCTTATTTTATCGAAAAGGCTAACTGGCTTTATTTTAGACAAAGGTCCATTGTCCATCATGGATCATATCAATAAATTAGGGATTTGGGTATTTAAAATCATAGTTTATAAAATAACTAACAAAAGCCCTTAGTAACATATTTGAGTACATATATATATATATATATATATATATATATATATATATATATATATATATATATATATATATATATATTAGCAAAATATTTAAATATAAGTAAATAGTTCTATTTGGTAAATATTTATATCTAATATAAATATTTAGTGAAACACGGGGTGTTACACCGGGAGTTCGGTGTTGATACCTAGAATGTCTATGACTCCCTTTGATACAAGATTGCCTTTCAAATTCCAAAGAAGACAATTCCCATTAATGTTTTCATATGGCATGATAATAAATAAATGTCAAGGTCAAACACTATCTCATGTTGGGTTGCTCATGAAGAAACTAGTGTTTGTAAATGACCAATTGTATGTTGTTATGTCTAGATTTAGCAATCCTAAGGGTCTAAAAATTCTAATTTGTAATGAACTTAGGGTCCGTTTGGAAAGCAGGAAAATGACTTCTGGAAAATATTTTCTGGAAAATGAGTCATTTTCCGGAAAACATTTTCCTTTCCAGTGTTTGGTTGCATTCTTGAAAACTGTTTTTGTGTGTTTGGTTCATTTTCTGGAAAATGAGTAGAATTGTATAATTAAACATTTTAATTATTTTATTTAAAATATTACAACATGTATAATAATATATAATAATATAATAATAATTTTAAATATAATAAAATAATAACTAATAATATATCAAAAATATTATAGTGGTGGTGGTGGTGTAGTGGTAGTGGTGTTATTTGTTATATAATAATAATAATAATAATAATAATAATAATAATAATAATAATAATAATAATAATAATAAACTGGTGGTGGTATGACGGTGGTGGCAGTGGTGGTGGTGGTGGTGGTGGTGGTGTGGTGGCGGTGGTTGTAGTGGTATGGTGGTGGTGGCGGCGACGGTGGTTGCGGTGGTATGGTGGTGGTGGTGATGGCGGTGGTATGGTCGTGGTGGTGTGATGGTGGTGGTGGTTGCGGTGGTATGGTGGTGGTGGCGGCAACGGTGGTATGGTGGTGGTGGTGGCGGCGACGGTGGTTGCGGCGATGGTGGTTGCGGTGGTATGGTGGCGGCGGTGGTGTGATGGTGGTGGTGTGGTGGTGGTGGTGGTTGCGGTGGTGTGGTGGTGGTGGCGGTTGCGGTTGCGGTGGTGTGGTGGTGGTGGCGGCAGCGGTGGTATGGTGGTGGTGGTGGCAGCGACGATGGTTGCGGTGGTATGGTGGTGGCGTCAGCGGCGGTATGGTGGTGGTGGTGGCGGTGACGGTGGTTGCGGTGGTATGGTGGTGGTGGCGGTGGTGGTAGTGGTGGTGGTGGCGGCGACGGTGGTTGCGGTGGTATGCTGCTGTGGTGGTGATGGTTGCGGTGGTATAGTGGTGGCGGCGGCGGCAGTAGTGGTGGTGATGGTGGTAGTGAGGTGGTGGTGGTATGGTGTTGATGATGTTGGTGGTGGTGTGATGTTGGTGTAAAAGTTGGAAAATGACTTCCCCCCGAAAAATGATTTCCGTTGACTTGATTTTCCAGGCACATCCAAACACTGAAAACTTGGAAAATGATTTCCAGAACTCATTTTTCAGGTTTCCAAACACACCCTTAACCAGAGTTGTACTTCAACAACTAATGTTGCTTTAGTTATCTACAACTACGGGAAAACGGAAATGAAATAATTTCACGACAAATATTCAATTGCATATTAATTACCTTGTGAATCAATAATCAGTACTAAATTCCGGTGATGGATCTTTATTAACCAATGTTTTTTATTCTGAGTGCTTTCAATATCTTGTTATTCATCGTTTTATTAATTTATTTAATTTCTCTTTTTAATCTTTATTCATAGATATACAAATCCCTATCATTTTCCTAAGCACAAAAATTAAACTAGTTACTCCTTGTGGGATCAATCCTTACTCCTACTACTACGTTTGTAAGATTTTAATTTGAGAGGCTACGACAACTCGCCATATTACATAACATATTGCACAATCATTTAGTTTATTATAATAACATCTAAAATTAATTAAAATATAATTTATTGACCGTGCAGGGTACCATGCTAGCCATAATTATTAAACAACATATATTTGACATAAAGAAAGAAATTAATTAACCCAGACGACGTGGTCCTCTAGGAGGAAATGGCAGACAGGGACAGTTCCAGGTTTAACCTTAAGCACTTGGAAGGCCAAGTGGTTAGGGTTCCAGGCAGAAGTATCCTTGTGGCAAACCGCTACAGCTTTAACCTTTGCGCCGTAGGCTCCGACCAGAGAAACCTCGTACACCTCTGTGTTTTGTGTCTTGTGGCAGTAGAAAACTGCGTAGGGATAGCTCTGCTTGTGGCACACCACTGCTTTGCCATCTTTTCCCATATTTTTGGACCCTGAGATTGCGTATTTCTCCACTGCTTCCCTTTTCCTCCCGCCCTCAGTTGAAATTGCCTACACGTTAATACAATTAGTTTTGTTTTTTTTTGAGTACTACGTAAATACAAATTAAATAATATATATAACACATTTAAAACATATATATTTGAATCTCATCTTATATATTTGTGTTAGTGTTACTAGTAAAATATGGAGACGTGAATTGGAAGAGCACCGCTTACCTTAACGTTTTTGCCCAGCTGAGATACACTGAAATCCACCATGGACTCCAATGAAGTAGCGCAGAGCTTCTCTTCTCCCATCATCGCCGGCGCTTCGCATTCTTCGAGGGTTTTCTTCATGACCTGGGCTTCTTTCGAGTCCGGGGACAGGGAGAAACGGGAGAGAATCTGGGGTAGTTTCACGGCGGAGAATGGGATCTTTCCGGCGGCCGAGCGCGGGAGGAAAGTGGCGGCGTTGCTGGTTTTCGTGAAGTGCAATTTCATCTGGTTGCCTTGCTGCAAGTCATTCTTCTTGAAGAAAAGGGCCACGTTGGGGTCGTCGTGGAGCTGATCCTCCGTCGCGGCGTCGGTGTAGATAAAGAGGATCGCGTTGGGCGTGACGCCGACCTTCCCAACACCCCCTATCAAACCAAAAGTGTCAATACATAACTGGTAACTAAGTCAATAGTCTATTCAATAGAGTCGGGTACTGGAATTGGCCATTTACTGGTCTCAACCTAACAATTCCTTCTACCAGTACCTACATCAAGTGTTTATTTCTATGTCAAAAATTATATATAAAGCGGTAACTTTATTTCTTCCTTATCTTATAAATAGCCATCACATTTTTTTTTTAGAAATATAGTGCTAACTTGCCTTTTCCCCGGCCTCCGCCTAACCAACTGAATTATAACTTGTAATAATATTAAACTTTGCAGTACTTAATATCAAAAAATATTTATGATTATATTTGGTACAAAAATATGGAGGTGGAAGAACAACCTGCTGTAGACAGGGAATCTTTGACAGCTCCTGGCATGGGGGTGTTTGGAATCACAGATTTCCAATAAGTCTCAGGTGATAAAGCTGCGTGGCATGCAACAACAGCCACCTGAAAACACAACAAATATGAATATTATTATTATATTATTATTATTATAGGGAGAGAGAGAGAGAAAGATTTCTCCAAACAATAAATTACTCTGAAGAGAGTAAAATAACTCAAATCTTACAGAAAGAAGTGAGAAGATTCCAAGGAGTTGAAACTCCATTGATGTTGATGAAAGCAAGGCTACTTGAAGCAGAAAATAAAGCTTAGATGATTGAAAATGGAGAATGAGCTGGGGAGTTATTTATAGTAATTCTGGAAAGTTATAGGTACATACAACTTGTTAAATTTGTATCGCGGTCTAAATTTTCATCTATTCTCTTAAATACTACAATTGAAATTTAGTATTAGATACTAATACGTACATATAATGAAATATAATTACTTTAACTATTAATTATAATTTCTTCCATAGTAATAAACATTCGGATCACCAGGCATATGCACTAATTCATCCAATTTTAGTTTTAGTTTTAGTTTTTAAATCTAGTTTAGTTTTCCTAAAGAAGTAATATGGGTAAAAACTTGATAGTCAAAACATACATTATTAGAAAAAACTGGAAGTCCATAAGTAAAGTGAAAAAGAGTTAATTACCAAAATGGTCCATTGACTTTAGTGAAATTATCAATTTGGTCTTTGACTATTTTTTAACCAATTAAGTCCCTCAACTTTAAAAATTTTAACCAATTTGGTCCTCGTTTGTTTGACCGTTAGTCAACCGTTAACTTGGGACCAAATTGGTAATTTCGTTATAGTCAAGGGACCATTTTAGTAATTAACTTTAGGGGTGGACAATTCAGTTTAATTTTCTCGAATCGAACCGAACCGAACTAGTTTGGTTCGGTAATATACCGAACAACTGAACAATATTGGATTCTTGTATACCGAACGGTTCGATAAAAAACCGATCCGAATTATTCCGTAAAAATTTGAACTGAACCGAATACCATTTGATTTTTTTGTTTAAATATAATAATAAATAAATAAATAAATAAATAAATCCAAGTCTCTTACTGCTTGCTCTACCGTTCAGCTCATATTCTCACGGGTATCTCTCATAACTGTTTTATTTGATTTCTTTATGGTTTGTTATCAAAAGTTCTATATTATGTATTATGGTGTTTACATAGTCCATATCCAAAGTCTAATATATAACAAAATAGCAATCCAAATCAAACGGTATTCGGTTCGGTTCGGTTTTTATCGAACAATTCAGTTCGGTTCGAGTTTTTACCGAACCGTTCGGTATACAAGAATCTATTACCGTTCGGTTGTTCGGTATATTACCGAATCTAACTAGTTTGGTACCGTTCGGTTCGAGAAAACTGAACTGAATTGCCCACCCTTAAAGTTAATTACCAAAATGATCCCTTGACTATAACGAATTACCAATTTGGCCCCAAGTTAACGGTTGACTAACAGTCAAACAAACGGAGGACCAAATTGGTTAAGATTTTTAAAGTTGAGGGACTTAATTGGTAAAAAAAAACAATCAAGGACCAAATTAGTAATTTCGCTATAGTCAAGGAACCATTTCGATAATTAACTCAGTGAAAAATCACTAAACTTGATTGGTTATTCAGTTATTGACTATTCATCCAAATTATAAATGAGTAAAGGTTTATGTGAATTCGTTTCATGTAAAAAATGTAATACTTTAATATACATTAATAAAAAATATATTTTATTTAAAAAATATTACACATTCTATGTAAGATAGTTTCATAGCAGACTTATTATTCGTTATACATTTATTTAAATGACAACAACAAAAAAAAGGTATTATGAAAAGTAGATTTGGTGGGCATTTGCTTTCTAAACTGCAGGGAATGGTACAGGTTGATCACATGGTGTCTAGTAGACCTTTTTTGTCTGTTTTTTGCATTCATGAAAGGTTTGAACATCATGATCTGCTCCATTATTTCAACTCATTCTTATTTTAAAACCTTTCTTCTTTCTTCTACAGAAAGAAGTGAGAAGATTCCAGCTTTAATGTCAGTTTTAATTGCAGTAATAAAAGTTATTAAATCATTTACCCCTATATAAGGAGTTGGGTAGTAGCAGATTTACACAACAAGAAAGTATCTTTTTTTGCCTCAAAACTCTCTGCTTCTACTCCTTTCTTAAGCCAACTGTGTTCATAATCTTGCTCATGTTCGCCGGATTCCTTGTTTGGGTGCTCAAACATTGAACCGTAGCAAGTTTTATCCTGGGAAGCCTAGGCCACAACGCTCATAGCACTTTTGGGAGGTGACAAATAAGGTTTTAAGGAAAGAGTGATCACTTGACTCTTGCTAAAAACCCTACACCAAACACTAGCCAATCTCTTCATCTTTTCTTCCCTTTTTCCAGAAAAATAATAATTTTATTTTATTGAATTATTATTTGTTTTCTACCAACGGAATTCCCAACACTTTACTGACTAAGGTTACAAGATGGAGATTTCTCTGGTGCACACTCTCAAATAATGACGAGAGTTAGTAAGCACAAGGTTCTGAGCCTATTGGCTTTTTTGGCTCCTCTTGATTCTTTGTCAACTAGGATCATAAAACATACTTGACCTAAAAGACATAGATAGTTGGTGCTAATTTTCTTGTAAACAAAAGAATAGTTTAAGATTTTATTTAAAATGTGGGATAAAAGCAACACAGAAATAGCTTCCATAGCAAAGACAATCAACAAGAAAAGGAGGAGGATTATCAAACCACTCCCCGCAACCCGACACAGAAACGACTTCCATAGAAAAAGATGTTGTTCTACCTAGCAACTCTCGGCTTGGCAAGGTTCTTGTCCGAGAGTGTTCCTGAGTTGAAGGAACAAGATGCACAATCCGTGATGGCAGTTGGCTATTGGAAGGATTCGACTTCCTTTGCCGAAACTACATCCTGAATGGATTGTGTGACACGCTATATGATGTATATCGAAAGATAAACACATCGAAAGTGTTATGGGAAGCCTTGGATCATAAGTATAGAAGTGAGGATGCCGACACAAAGAAATTTGTGGTTGGCCGAATCCTGGGCTTCAAAATGGTTGATTCCAAGACCGTGCTAAGTCAGGTAGAAGATTTGCAATTAATCTTCGACGAGATCCGTGACGAGGGCATGGTTCTAAGTGAAGCCTTCCAAGTGGGATATGTGATCCACTTGTTGCCTCCAAGTTGGAAGGACTTCAAGAACTACCTTAGGCATATGCGAAAGGAGATGAATCTGGAGGACCTGATCCAGCGACTCAGGATTGAGGAGGGGAACAGGACGAATGATAGGAAAATTCCTGTCATTGATGGCGCTAAGGCCAACGTTGTGGAGCATGGTAAAAACTCCAAGAGGAACAAGAAGGACAAGCGAAAGCTAAGTCCGAAAGGTGGTGTGACCAAGAACAAGTTTCTTGGTGCATGCTACAATTGTGGCAAGCCTGGCCACAGAGCGTCTGAATGCAAGGCTCCAAGGAAGAAGAACAAGATCAGAGTTTTGAAGTCAATGTTGTAACACCCCACTTTTTCTAAATCTTAATTACAATTCTAATCCATAATTAACATAAATAAGCAGCGGATAAATAACTTATTAAGAAAGCTAGTGGGAGTGTCACCGCCACAATCACTCTTCCATGGTGATCGCACAGGCTAAGGATAGAATTAGAAAATAAATAAATAGCTAACAATCCATCAAACTTAATTAAAGCATAAGAGGGATAAACACACCCCGATGTCTACATCATCAAAACATGACAAAACATCATAAGTCCAGAATCCGGTAGATAAAATCATAAACAGAACATAAAGAGTTTAGACTTCTAAAACTAATAGACTAGTCTAACTCGATCACTTCTCAATGCAGGGCCCACCTGAAAGGGGTTTTACAAGCAACACATAGACAAATAGAAAAAACATCCGTTAGCACGAGGCTAAGTATAACCACACTCAACCCTGTAAAGTGAAGGAAACTGTAAATTGTATATTCACAATACAAATGATACATGGTATAAATAGGATGAGACATGAGCATAAAGAGGAGGTAGCTACAACAACTGAATGACCTATTCTATAGGACTAAAGGCAACTTTACAACAGAAGATATAGTCAGTCCACAAGCTGTCAATCATCCTTAATACGCCCCCGCAAGATGGAGGATCCATCGGAGATGCCAATCTTGACCCAAAATGATAAAAACGGACCACGACTAAGAGGCTTCGTCAGCAAATCAGCAACTTGCTCAGAAGACCGTACATGAGCAACCCACAAAGAACCAGCAACCACACGCTCCCGAACAAAGAAATAGTCTAACGCCAAATGCTTCATCCGGGAATGAAAAACTGGGTTTCTACAAACATAAGTTGCACTAAGATTGTCAGTGATCAAAAGTGGGGGGCAGCGTAGCGGAATACCAAGTTCACGTAGCAAATTTTGAACCCAGATGACTTCAGCGGCAGCATTAGCTAAGGCTCGAAACTCAGCCTCAGTAGAAGACCGAGACACCGAACGCTGTTTGGTGGACTTCCAGGAAACAACATTGGAACCAAAGTAAAGGACATAAGCCGTGGTCGACCTGCCATTGTCATGAATTCCCCCCAATCCGAATCTGAATAAGCAGACAAAGTAAAAGGAACACCCCGGCGTAAGAAAATACCAAGATGTATAGTACCTTTCAGATAACGGAAAACTCGTTTAACAGCTTGCCAATGAAGTTCAGTTGGAGCATGCATAAATTGAGACAAACGATTCACTGCAAAAGCAATATCTGGGCGAGTGATACCCAAATATTGCAAACGACCAACCGCACGACGATATAACTGTGCATCAACTTGTGGACTATCACCAAGTTTGAGAATTGTTGAAGAACATAACGGAGTAGCAACCTCCTTCGCCCCCGCCATGTGAAACTGCTCTAAAAGATCAACAATATATTGACTCTGTGACAAGAATAGACCAGAAGATGTGGGAACAACTTAAACCCCAAGAAAGTGATGAAGTATGCCAAGGTCCTTGAGAGAAAATCTGGCAGCCAAACGACGTATGAAAATATCCAAAAATGTAGAGTCATTACCGGTCAGCACGATGTCATCAACGTAAACCAAAAAATAAATTATTATCTTCCCTGAACGAAATACAAATAAGGAGTTGTCTGCCACAGACTTGTCCAGGCTCCTGCAAAAAGCCTTTAGCAACGAGGCGAGCTTTAAACCGATCAACTGTACCATCCGGCTTTCGCTTAACCCGGAACACCCACTTGCAAGCCA